GGTTTCATACGGAAACTCGTCTGTTATAAAGGGATTTCATTTTTTTTGAACTTATTTGAACTTCATACTTTTTCTGTGTTCAAAATGCACCATTCAAAGCCACATCATCAATTTTCATCCCTTTCTGACTTCATTTGTTATTTTTCATGCATTTACTGATTATTTTGAGCTATAAGACCCTGAAATTGAAAAGCACTACAAATGAACTCTGAAAAGGTTGAAAGTTGGCATGGTATCATCATTTCACCCACATAGCATGTGCAAGAAAGTAGAGAGGCTTACGGCAAAAACTGGATGCACTTCGTGTACAAAACGGACAATCTCTTTCGAAGTATCAGAGTTTCATACGGAAACTTGTCTGTTACAAAGGGATTTCATTTCTTTGAACTTATTTGAACTCCATACTTTTTCTGTGTTCAAAATGTACCATTCAAAGCCACATCATCAATTTTCAACCCTTTCTGACTTCATTTGTTATTTTTCATGCATTTACTGATTATTTTGAGTTATAAGACCCTGAAATTGAAAAGCACTATAAATGAACTCTGAAAAGGTTGAAAGTTGGCATGGTATCATCATTTCACCCACATAGCATGTGCAAGAAAGTAGAGAGGCTTACGGCAAAAACTGGATGCACTTCGTGTATAAAATGCACCATTCAAAGCTACATCATCAATTTAGTACATATAGCTCTCATGGATAGATAAGTGACCAATTTAATAGAAGTTTATCATCACATTAAAAACAAAGTACATACATAGTTCTCATTGAACAACATATAGCTCTCCAGAGCATCTAGTTAAACCATACATTGAAACTATGTGAAACCTTTCAATGCAACAATAAATGCGGTCATAATCACAACCAAGGTAAAAATTGATCCAACAGCATAATGATACCAAGCCTCGGTATGAATGGCATATTTTCTAATCTTCAACCACATTGCATCCATCTTGATCTTGTGATCATCGACGACATCCGCAACATGCAACTCCAATATCATCTTCTCCTCAATTTTTTTCCTTCAAGTAATTGTTTTCTTCTTCAACTAAATTTAACCTCTCGACAATAGGGTCGGTTGGAATTTCTGGTTCAACTACCTCCTACATAAATAAAAATCTATGTTAACTTGATGGGCATAATTGTCATAAACAATAAATGAACCAAATAGTTATAAAAGATAATATATACCACATCCAAATCATAGCCAGGACGAGGGCCGACGGGGGCGGATACCAAAACCATCGCACTATATAAGCACAAGCAATAATAAAAGTAAGAAAATTAGACAAGTATCTATCTAAAGTAAGAATTTTTTTTCTTTCAGAAGAAGATAAGAGGCTCACCACAGTGGTGCAGGCGACGAGATCGGCGCGGGCGATCGACGGCGGTGAAGACGGGGACGAGACGTGATGGACCGCTAAACCTAGACAAATCTCAGGGAAAATGGAGTTTGGAGGTCGAGCTTCGAGAGGAGAAAGCTTAACTAGCGTGGCTTGGGCATTTCATCGAACACCTCATGTGCATAGGAGGTGAGCTAGAGCACCCAAATGCCCTCTCCTCGTCGGCCAGAAAAAACAGAGCACTATGGAGTGCTCTGCTGCATCGACGGGGTATATATAGGCAACTCATTTGTCCCGATTCATGTCTGGAACTGGGACTAAAGCCCAGCCTTCTGTCCCGGTTCGAGCCAAGAACCGGGACCAATGTTTGTGGGTCAAAAGCGAGGACCATTGGTCCCGTTTCGTGCCTGGAACCGGGACAAATGAGTCCATACGAACCGGGACCAATGCCCACAAGGCCCCGGCCGGCCCCCTGGGCTCACGAACCGGGACGAATGCATTCATTGGTCCCGATTCGTGAAAGGACCGAAACTAATGGGCTGGCCAGACCCGAACGAAATCCCCTTTTTCTACTAGTGGGAGGTTCATTTTCAGTACTTCACCATTCTAAAAAAGGCGCATGAGTATTGAGTAGCCCTTGCATCTATCTTGCAAGCTAAGTCACACCTAGCCGGTAAAACAGAGCACATGTAGCATAGTTGCGGTCCATGATACATAATAATGGCGTGGCGCACGGGGGTCTTGTATTTGATAATTGCCATGTGCTTACCGAAAGTCTACAACATCTTATAATTATTATAATCTCGTCCTGTCATCGTACCATCACCCTAGTGAAACATGACACTGCATGTATGCTCAGAGTACCTTTTGGCTTCTGCCAAGATGTTCAGACCCGAGTGCATCGGCTCAACCTTAATCAGCCCAAGATGTTCAGAGCGCCATCGCTTTCTTCTACTAGTACTAGCTCTGTGAAGTGTGAAGAAATATAAGAGTGTTTAGGCTCACTACTTAATTTGAAGTGGGAGACTAGCTTGGCTGCCATTGAATTATTAATCCATCCATGCATGCATACACAAACTGCGGCTCGTGTACTCATCACCCTGGCCCGACTCACACTCTCACTCACTCACTGCCATAGCAAGCTACGAAGTGCTAACCATGATGGACATTTGTCGTAATGCCAACCCCGGCACTTGATGAAATCCTGCCTGTCAAGCCAGTTTGTAATCTCGTACTGTAGTACTAGCCTTTCTTCTCCCTTTATTTCCCCATTTTCCCGCGAAAGTTAGCCGCAACCCGCTGCGGACTATCATTTCGCGTGCCGTCGGAGAGCCCAAACCTCGACCCCTTTTGCTCCTACATAAACGGTCACAGATTCACAGTTCGACAGGCAGCAGAGCAACCGAATTCTGCAGGATTAAAATTGTTCCTAGGTGAACTAAAAGGAGGAAGCTGTGATCGATCGAGAACGTCGTCATGGCACCAGCCGTCGGCACGGAGGAGCAGGACGTGCCGCTCTTCCACCCGTCCCCGTGCGCCTACTACGTGCAGAGCCCCTCCGCGGCGTCGCACACCCTCAGCCACCCGGCGTCCGAGTCCACGGCGCTCATCCTCTCGCCGTTCCCGGAGACCGCCTTCGCCGCCCCGCGCCGTAGCGACGACGCCGGCGCCGGCCGCCACGAGCACGACCAGGAGGCCTCCCGCCTCGCCCTGTCCCGCTACTCCTCCTCTCCAGGCTCCAACAACTCCTTCCTCACCGACAAGAAACCCAGCGGCGGCGGCGGCAGCAGGGGGGCGCGGCAGGTGCTGAGGGTGGTCTCCGGGCGGTCCGACGACGACGACGGTGTCGGCGCCGACCAGAGGAGCGGGGCGTGGAGGTACGTGAAGCTGGACCCGGAGGCGCCATGCTGCTGCATCGCGTTCCAGGTGGCGTGGAGGGTGGCCGTCAGCATGGCGATCGCGCTGCTCGTCTTCGTCGTCGTCACAAGGCCCGCGCACCCCGGCGTCTCCTTCAAGGTCGGCAAGGTGGAGCGGTTCAGCCTCGGGGAAGGGCTGGACGGCTCCGGCGTGATCACCAGCTTCCTCAACTGCAACTGCTCCGTGGAGATGGCCGTGGAGAACCACTCCAAGGTCTTCAGCCTGCACCTCCTCCCGCCGCTGCTCGACATGTCCTTTGGCCACTTCACCTTCGCAGCCTCACAGCAGGTACGCATACATCGCCATGTACACGTGCATTGCAGCGGCACGCCGGCCCGTCTAGTAGTCTGCTTATCACCTTGCGTGATCGACGCAGGGAGAGGGGCCGCACGTCGTCGTCGGGCCGCGGGGCGCTACGACGGTGAGGCTCTTCGTGGCGGCGCAGGAGAAGCCGATGTACGCGGCGGGGCGCGGCATGCAGGACCTGCTCGAGTCCGGCAAGGGCGTGCCGGTCACCATCGCGGTGCGGTCGCGGTCTCGGTACCGCGTGGTTGGGAGCATGGTCCGGCTCACGTACCGCCACGACTCCCAGTGCGTGCTGTACCTCAGGAGGAGATCGCCGTGGCGGGACAACACCCTCGCCGCCGACGGCCGCTCCACCTGCTCCGCAGCAACTCTATAAATCATACTACATGTACTACTCATCTTTTTGGCGACTTTTGTACTGTAGTACATTGTTCATGTACATCTCGAATTCTCAATCGAGGATTTCATTTGCCACTTCACGAGAGACGTTGCAGTTCAGTTTTTACGTGTGGAAATGGACACGGATGTGATTATATATAGATTAATTTGACTTGTGCAAATTGTCTACTGAGTAATACAGTATGAAAGTATGATCTGAAATTTGAGCAAAAATCTTCCAAAAAAATGGAAGATGCTCGTCCCATGGACAAAAGCGTTTAACCACTCGATGGTAGCCGAAGTGCCAGAGTAGGTGGTTGGCGCTGGATCGCGCGCTGCCATGAATGGCCCGCTCGTCGGGAGACGTGGTGCGGTGGACGAAGCGCATCTCGGCGCTGGCGAGGGGCGGGCGCGCGGCGGAGGCCGTGGCAGAGTTCTCCAGGATGGACGCGGCGCCGAACGCGCTCACGCTGGCGAGCGTCCTCCCGGCGTGCGCCAGGCTGCGGAGCCTCGGCCTGGGGCGGGCCATCCACGGGTTCTGGCTCCGGCGAGGGGGCGGCCCCGGCGCGAACCCGATCGTGGACAACGCCGTGCTGGACGTGTACGCCAAGTGCGGGGCCCTCCGCAGCGCGCGCCGCGTGTTCGACGGAATGCCCGAGCGGGACGTCTTCTCCTGGACCGCGATGGCGTGGGGGCTCGCGAGGGGCGGCAGCCCGCAGGACGCCGTCGCGATGTTCCGGGCGATGCTCTCCGACGGCGCCCGCCCGAACGAGGCCACCTTGGTCAGCGTCCTGCACGCCGTGGCGTCCACCGGCGCTCTGGCATGCGGCAAGCTGCTGCACTCGTACGCGCTGAAGCGAAGGCTCGGCGGCGAGCAGGTCGTCGCCAACGCGCTGGTCGACGCCTACGCCAAGTGCGGCGAGGCGCGGCTGGCGTTCGAGGTGTTCGACCTGCTCCCGGACAAGGACCTGGTCTCCTGGGCCACCGTCATGAGGGCCATGGCCGTGCACGGCCGGTGCAGGGAGGCGCTGCAGCTCTTCTCCGTGATGCTGCGCCAAGGTGTTCGACCGGACGGCGCCGTGTTCCTGTCGTTGCTCTATGCCTGCTGCCATGCCGGGCAGGTAGACCAGACGCTGCACCTCCTGGGCGCCATGGGAAGGATCTACGGGGTCGCGCCGCAGCGGGAGCACTACACGTGCGTGCTCGACGCCTGCGGCCGGGCCGGGAGGCTCGACGGAGTTGGAGAAATCTTCAGGCGGATGCCCGTGGAATGCGATCAGCAGGTACTTGGAGCTTACTGCTCCCATGCAAGTGCGAGTAAAGCAACCGGCGTTGCCGGCGAGCGGTTCCTCTGGAAGAGGTTTCTCGCCGGAGAAGTGGCTGCCGGGCAGGAAATGTACGTGCTCATGTCCAAGTCGCTGGCTGATGCAGGGCGATGGGACGACGTTTGTTCTGTCAGGGAGAGGGCTGCTGCAACAAAGATCGACGAGGCTGCTGCTTGCACTTGGATCCAAGTGTAGCATCATTGTTCACATCACCATTCAACAAGGCGAAAGTTCTACTACCTTGCATGCATGAGATCTTATAGGCACGATTTTGATGTAAGAATCTATTATCAGATAACAGTGCAAAGCTATCAAAAAATTCCTTGTAAATCAAAATATGTACCCAGGAAAAAAAATAACTGCACGAAATATGTTACAAGCAAGTAATGGAATAGTGTGAAAAATTGATGCTCATCTGGCATAAGTACAATAACTGAACTGTTTAGACTCGTGAGATCCATACAGTGCCGATTTCAGAAATAACAAAGGCAATATACTCTGATGCCACATATACCTATGAAGTATGAACTATTCCTATTCTAGAACTCTACATCAAATAATAGGGGATAGCTATTTGCGTTTGTATGTAATTTGTGCACTTTGGATGCACTGTTTCCACCATCCATTTATACAACTTAGAGTGGTGGCGAGAGGAACATGTGTCTAGGAAAATGTATAAATCTTTTATATTAGATAAATTTTGTTTCTACCATAGCCATCCCAGTAAAATTGTACACTAGCTTGATGGTGCCATCGACTAATATACAAGCCAGATGTACCAACACATCGACTGACTCGACTTAAGCTAACCTAAATAACCAGGAAAATGTTGCAGCGTCACCATAACTGCTGTTGCATCGCCAAAGGAGCCAACTGTGCTATTTAACCCTAAAAATTCAAACAGGGGAAATAACATTAGTACCACACTTATGAGATACAAAAAAGAGGACTAGAAACACATTATTGTCATTGCTAACTAGGCATTATCACTTACTGCCCACTACCACTAATTGTTTGTTCTCAACAAAAGGAGAAACCAACACCTCAGGATCGTCGCATTTTCCATAGAAATAAATTGAATAAAAGGAACACTAACAATGAGCTAAAAAAACGTAAGGAAATCATCACATTTGGCAAATCAAAATAGCATGCACCAAATGACATTCCATAGAGCACCAATTTTATCCAACTACTCCCTCCGTACCATAATATATGGCATTTTAGCAGTTCAATTTGAGCTGCTAAAACGTCATATATTATGGTACTGAGGTAGTAGATACAAATGCCAATGCTTTGACAAATTGAAAATAGACAGGTATAAGGAAACTTCAATCATCGAAGAACATGGTTCCTCCTCTATATCAGAAAGTTGACCCCAAAGCAGAGATGCTAAGTGATATGGTGAAAGTCTATGTACATCCGCTGATCACAAAATGAATGCACCACAACATCAGCGCATCCATTTTCCAAATAACAGCACAACATTTCAATATGCACAGTACCAACATTGAGTGAACCAGTACAGTCTTTTTAAACTAATCCAGTTCAAAAAACAATAAACTTGTTTAGTCTATAACATGATCAGACTTGAATCTCTTTTGTTCATGGCTTCAGAAGCATTTAACAATCATGTATATGAAGAAGCTTGTGCAATATCGTCTGAGATGGTTTGGACATATACAGCGCAGGCCTCCAGAAGCTACAGTGCACAGCGCATGGTTAAAGCGTGCTGATAATGTCGAGAGGTTGGGTAGACCAAACTTGACATGACAGGAGTCAGCAAAGAGATATCTGAAGGACTGAAATATCAGCAAAGAACTAGTCATGGACAGGGGTGCGTGGAAGTTCGCTATCCACGTGCCAGAGCCATGAGCTGGTATCAAGATCTTATGGGTTTGAGCTCTAGCCTACCCCAACTTGTTTGGGACTAATGGCTTAGTTGTTGATGTATATGAGGAAGAAACTCATCATGATAAGGACCAAAACGATAAGTATGCACTGGACCTTTGTGTTACCTTAAAACGTTGCACAATGGAGAAGCGTCTTCTTTCGTCTTGTTGGGCCCAAGGCGTTTTCTTTCTGGCAGCTGGTCTCAACCTTGTTTGAAGATTGGTTTCGTCTCTATCAAATGGAACCGGGAGCGATCCCTGATGATGTAAGAAAAATCTGGCATTAACAGCTTGGTTCCTCAAATGCATTGTCTGCTGCAACATCCTTTTTGTTTCCACTTCCTGATTCAAACCCCAAAGTAACCAAAATGAATTTCATAAAAAAAGAATTATTTCATCAAATATTTCAATAGAATACAACTTTTGCATCAATATTTGAACTTTGAATGTCTTATTTCTCTACCCTTAGTAGTGATAAAGTGATAAAATCTATTTGACATTCAGCAGATAGAACTTTACTACAAGATAATTCAAAGAACTATGAATCTTCAACTTAATTTGGAGATTCTTATGGCAATATCCTTACAGTTTACTGAGAGCTTGGACTATTATCGCAGGCAAGTGAGATTTTTCTTACCAGCTTACTTTCATACTCCCTCCGTCCAAAAGTAAGTGTCGCTGATTTAGTACAACTGTAGTACAATTTTATACTAAATCAACGACATTTATTTTGGGAGGGAGGGAGTACTTGACAAACAAGTGCATCATCCGAATATACTTTCCATTTCTGTGTTTAATCATCACAGGCAATATGCAACGCAGAGACATTTTGAACCATTTTGGTGGGCATCACTGGTTGAAAAAAATGTCAACTTAGAGTTTGGAGAGGCAGTGGAGCACATCAAAATACTTACTTAATACCTATTTTAAGAGTCAAAACTAGATGACTTTGGCACAACTGATCAAACATTATTACATAACAAATTTCCTTCTGGAGGAAAGCAAAACAAAATAAGAAGTGCAATCTCCAACTGCATCCATAAACAATCTCTTTCACCAAAATGCAGAAGGGGGTCACAATAACAGACAACACAATGATGAACAATGAATGCGTACACGGGATTGTCCACGTGGAAAGAAACCATAACATGAAGCACAAATCCATACCTTTATGCCCAATATTTGCTCTAGAACACATTTGAGCTTGATCATCTTGTCCAGGCCCAAACTTCTATTTCTCAAAAAAGGGCAGCCCGGTGCATGTAGCTCCCGCTTGCGCAGGGTCCGGGGAAGGGTCCGACCACTTTGGGTCTATTGTACGCAGCCTTGCCCTACATTTCTGTAAGAGGCTGTTTCCAAGACTTGAACCCGTGACCTCATGGTCACAAGGCAGCAGCTTTACCACTGCGCCAAGGCTCCCCTTCTATTTCTCAGAGCTCGTAAAATCAGGCACTTCTCCCTGAAAAACTAGCTGGGATTAATATCATGTAAAGAAGGTGAAATTAAACCATGGCATAATTTTAGGTGCCAACTGACCTGATGAAAGATGAGAGATTGCTGGTGTGTGAAGGACGAGGGAACCAGCACCAAAAGGTGATTTGCATGATTATGCTAACTCAAACTCTCATTTCAGGTACTCAATCAGTCAATCTTGAGATTATCATCTAATTCCTAGACTGGTCAGTATAAGAGAAACTTCATTGATATTCTCACGCTTGTAGTAGCCTTCCCAGCATAATACCCTAACTAATGGGATGAAGATGCAAGTATCTAGCTCAAATCCT